GCTGCTTGTAACTGAAGAGCGTCCTTCTGTATGGAATGCCGCATATTCCAATTCATTTCCCAATCTGGTGAGTTCACTTCCTGTTACAACTGAAGTATATCGCCTTTTTTTTAATTTTTTTTATTTAATGCTTCATATAAACATTTAGGAGTATTTCCTTTTTAGTGTCAGTCATGGGACAAAGAGGAAGGTTTGAATTTTGATTTTGACATAAAATTCGAATTTGAGTTCTATGCTCGGAATCCTTTTAAGTTTTTACGTACTAAATTTTATCAACTTTTGGTGCAATATTAGTTATCGGGGAATTTGTCTGTATCATGTTGTATATATTTGATGTTCCATGTCATCTATTCTTTTTTGAAAAGATGAGTTGTTCCCAAATATGTTCAAAAAACAGTACTTGAAGCGGTGAGTCTATGAATAGGTCCTTCTAATTCATAGATATATTCATGACAATGAGCTGAATTTGGAATATGGCTAAGAATTCAATCACAGAGGCCATCACAGCATTACTGCATTAGGATAATATTTCTGCCAACTTTCCTTTTGACATTCCTCTTCAGACTTGATAGCGTCATTGGCGTATTTTCTTGTATAGGAAGATATTTATATGCCTATCTTTGAAAGGTTGTTGAAATATTTGGCAGGGAAGAGCAGAGAGAATTGGCATAGACCCTTCAAAAGGAGTCCCCAACTGGGCGTGGCAAACGCATAGTGCCACCCCAGTACCACCATTCTCTACTGCAGCATCATCAGGATTCTCAATTTCAGCTACCTATCCACCAACTGCCATCTTTCCAACAAAATCAATGAACTCAATTCCCCAGAGCCTCTATTTCTCTTCATCCAGTACACCAGGTAGCAATGCACCTCAATTCTATTATGAGGTGAAGTCCCCGCAGGCACCATCATAGCCTAAGCTAGTATAAATGGTAAATCGCAACAGGCCTTTGCGTTTAAAACTCAACTGTACAATTCTGTTACTGATTGATGTATACTTAGATACGACATTTGATTACACCTCTTGGTTAAATCATTATGCACCTTCATGTATGAAGGAAAAAAAACTATTTTAGAGTGCACCAATTCTCTACGGATTCTGTTTCCTTCAAAATTAGTAACAGGCTGTCAAAATTGGTGTATTCACCTGCTAATTTTTGTGATTATATTTGCAACCCTGAAAATGGGATGAAACCAAAATGTGTTGTATTTTTCATCGAGCATTTTCCTACTTGATTTGACTACTGTACGTAACAGCGCTCTTGTATATTTACTATGGTCTTTGGGAGTTTAAACGTAACTCCACCACTCAAGTTCTGAACAGATGAAGCAAGGGTAGACTACATTACTCGATATGTACAATTCTGAAAATGACAGTTTATTGTTGGTTTAGATAACAATTTTTAGTTTGCAAGAATATTACACTGTTCGTCTTTTAGCCATTTTACTTTTGTTCTAAAATAATTATTATTTTAGAAAATTAAATTTTTTTTTTCCAATATCATTTATTGATATCTCACCTTAGAATTTACACGTGTATTCTATTTCATTTAATGAGGATTTTTTTTAATGGAAAATGTTACTCCCCTAATTACTTGTGTAACTAATAATTTACTTTAAAATGTTCATTATCTGAAAAGATAATTAATATAAGATGGAGATAGTAATTTCCGAAGAAAAAACATTAAAATATACTATAATTACACTTCCATTAAATTACAGTTCTTATATTTTATTTTTTTGGATATCAATTTTTTGTATTTGGTAATTACTGTTGAGAGTATAATTAGAGCTTGTTCTCTGACTAATTTGTATTTTATAGATTTTAAATTTTTTAACTAATTACGATACTAAAAGATTAGTAGTGTGTTTACTAAATACTCTTTTGAAAACACTAGAAGTTCATTTTTCTTTTTTTACTTCTTAAGAATAGCTGGTTTCGAATGTTACATCATCTGATATATTTATAATATTAAAATGATAAAAAAATCTTTATATATGAATTATTTAATCAAAAGTATACTTTTCAAAATTATGATTAAAAGTTATGAAATTCTTTTATCTTTCCCCCCTAAATTTATCCTTGATAGTTAAATATTTAATACAAATTAACTAGTATAAATAATTTCATATTTTTTTATGATTTATTATAAAATATTGTTTATTTATATAAAAACAATTAATTTTATAGATGAAAGAGAGTTGAATTGTGCGATAGGACAAGTGAAGCTGCAATTTTATTGGAACAAGGATTGGCTATATGTTGAGTGAGTGGCAGAAGTGATTGCACATAGAGTAGTATTTTATTATATTGGTGACAGAGCAGAATAACATTATTCGATTAATGAGAGCAATAAAAGTAGATAAGAGGTATGCTTTCCAATTACTGTTCATGTGCTATCTCTGTTTCATTGTACCATGGTCAGAACAGAGAATCAATCAGAACAGAGTCTATGATTGCTACGAGGGATAGGAGAGAGAGGGGGCACCAACCTCTTTTTTGTCTTCATCCTCACAATAACTACCAAGTAGCTGCTCATTTTTAGTAATTTTTACAAATAACACTGCAGAAGTTTCAATTTTAAACAACTACATTAATAATAATAGCTGCAAGCCTAGGGTCTAAAGCATAAGTAGTAGATAGTAGATACAACTACAGCGGGATTTCTTTCTTACTCCTTGCATCGAAATTATCATTGGTCACCGCCCAGTTCACTGGGACATAAGTCAAAGAGAAATTCAAGTCTTGTCAAACTGAAAGAGCAGAGAACACGGCAATCTTACTAATCCTGATCATTATCTACATCCTTTTTCTCTTTTTTAACCATATATTCTGAAGTATAATACTAAAAATGTTCAAACCTGTTCAAATTATAATAACAATAAATTATAATAATAAAAATGTTTGAAATAACATGTCTAAACCTGTTCTAATAATATTTAAATTATAAAATATTAAATTAAATTATTTTATGATATAATTATTAAAAAATATCAAATTTTTACCAACTGTTTTAGTTTGATTCTTTTGAAGGATATAACTGTTCTTCATATAATATTATTTTTGTGATTATTTTTTTATTATAAAATATTTGAGTTTTTTTTTAATAATTATAATATGTTCTTTGTTATTATAATATTATTTATAATAAATTTTAAGTTGGTCAAAAATAACAGATAATATGTAATAATTCATGCCTTCTTTCAATTTAAATTATTAGATCTTATGACATTAAATATAATAATATATCATTTTTTATGATGTATGTAAGTTTTGTTTGATGTTACATGTGTTGAATCTTTGTTGAATTTCAAGTATTGAGGCAAAATCAGGTTTTGTATATGCAAGATCTTGAAATCGTGACAAGTGCACCTTTATGGTGTCAAATATCGGGTGTCATTATAACTTGAAATTCTTTGTTTTGATCATGTGTGAGGAGAGAGACTCATCTCAGGTTGGCATGATGTTGGCGTGGTTTGAATAGTGTCAGGCATGAGAACCTTTGGAGGTCTTTGACTTGGGGATGACGAGCCTAAAGTTGAGTGGCGCCCAACATATGAATATTGTGTTGTGCTCTAAGAGCCCACTTTGTTAAAAACCCTTTTTGGGAATTTGACCTTTGAAGTGGATAGTTATGTTGAGTCTCCTCTAGCACTTAGTTAGTATTGTGTGTGAGTAAGATCGAGGCACATATGTATGAAGCGATCCAAGTATAGGGGTCAAGTCAAACTATATTGATTACAAATGATCAATCGAGTAAAGTATGAAGTTAAAAACCTAGTTCCTAACTGAATATCGGAAGGACATGATATTTGGAGGGTATTCAGGGGATTAATCTCGTACGAGACTTAATTAAGTTAGCTAATGTCATGGTAGGCCTATACCTAACTATTTTACCCAAACAATAATACTAAACTCCCTTGTTTAAGTGGCAATATCTGAGAAATCGAGTTGTAGTGTTGCGAATTTATATCTAATTTGTTGTTAATCTAGCAAGTTCAAAAAAATCACCTTGTGTTGTCAAATTGGTAGGGTCAAATCATTTAAAATGTTTACTCTATGTTGTAGGAAATCTCTTAGCTGAAATGCATGAAGACGCATATAGTTACAATATTTAGCATATGATGTGTTAATTTAATTATGTTGTTCATGCGTTGCATTGATTTGAGATGAGATGTACTAATGTTTTGAAAACTGAGTTGTTATGCTAATATGTGTTGCTTGTACTATTATGGCTTGTGTTGTCATTGTCGGAGATGAGATGATGATGTGATGTTGTAATTAAAGTTGTTGACGCTCTCATGTTGTTTATGTCATTTTTTAAACTCTAACTTACCTTTACGTATTTCCATTTGGTTTGAACTACGATAATCATACATTGTATGAGAGTAAGACATGGATAGGTATGTAGTTGTACAATGGAGGCCACTTAGTGGTGCATGAGTTGGATGTTTTTTTTGGTGATTATCTTTAGGTGGTTTTTGTATGATAGTAGTAGTTACTTGATCCAAAACTTAGTTGCATTGTTACACTTACATGATTATTATATTTATATTGCATATATTTATTTAGTTATTTCATCTTTATATGTATGCGATATAGTACATATTATAGTACCTGTGATTATATAATCCTAAGTTAGTTGTTTTTCTACTGCTTATAATTGTGCTGTTTAGTATAAGGATCGTAGTGAGTCATTACATTGTGTTCTGTTGAAAGTAGCAATGTTGAGAATGCTTAATGCATGAAGTTGAGTTATGTTGATTGACTTAAGACTAGAGGGAAAATGTTGTTTTAAAATAAAAAATATCTTATTGTGAGGATATGGTGTTGTGTTATGAGTCTAATTTTTGAAAAAACCTTATTGAGTAGTTAACTCTTGAAGTAGAGTATTAAGTCTCTTCTAGGACGTTAATTGATATAGTATAGGGGGAACCAGATCAAGTCATGTTGACTATAAGTGCCTAAACGTTGAACCATGTAACGTAGCAAGTTGTTTTAAAAAAAAAACAAACCTAATATAGGTGATTTAATAGCCCAGAACGGGCCGTTCCCAATTTGGAACGGGCCGTTCCAAGCTATTAAATTGGCCTGTAATTCGTGGTTGGAGAACGGGCCGTTCTGGTTGGAGAACGGGTCGTTCTGGATGGAGGACGGGCCGTTCTGGAAGGGAGTACGGGCCGTTCTGGATGCAGTACGGGCCGTTCTGGATGAGTCCCAGAATGGGCCGTTCTGATTTCAGAATCGGCCGTTCTGCATGAGTTTTTTTCACTTCACGAAGCAGTTCAGAACGGGCCGTTCCAGTATCGGTACAGGCCGTTCTGGCCAATCCGAAAAGTCTATAAATAGGGGTGTGGGCCGTGAGCTCATTTCTCTCGCAAATTTTTCTGTATGAATCATTTTCTCCTCTAGAACACTAATGCCTTCTGTCATTTCTTGAAATTCAGATTAGAAATCCAAATCTTCCTCGTACATCAAACTCTTTTGACTTCTCATAATGTTCAGGACACGAAGCCTTTCTTCAATACTGTATCCCCTACAGTTAAGCCAAGCATCCCTTATCTGACAAAGATTGCTAACCATGTTGTTCTGATGCTTCCTCAACAGATGATAGTGCTGTCGCTTTTGAAAAAAACTCAAGCCCTCCCTGTAAAGAGCAACTCTCGGCTCACACAAGCCACCCTTCAACATATCAAACAACTTCTTAACGGGACTCCCAAAGTGCATGTTACAACCACTGAAAAGCTCTTTCAAGGTTTGAACAAAAGTCTCTTGGTCCATGTCAGGCAGATACTTAGCGAGTTCAAACCTCTCCTCCTCACTCAAGCATTCATTCCACACATCCACCGACAGCACATCTTCAAGGCCTGAGAGATCATAAAGTTCCAACGGAATGCTGCAAGTCTGGTTCCCAATCTGACAAAACTCCGCCCCAGTCTCCCCCAATTCAAGCAAATCAAAATCATCAGACCCGGCCCCAGAATCAGCATCATCAAACTCGTCATCATCGTCCGATTCCGCGGCAGAGTTACGCCGCCGAATCACCTCTTCGTCACTAGACATACTTTTCCTACTTCGAGGAGAACACTCGGAATCAAGCCTTGACACCTTGCAGCTGTTCTTCTCAATTGCCATGATAGATAACACCAAACAGCCGCTAAAAACGCATCCCTCAGGATCAGATATGCTTGATGATGGTGATGATGAATGGAGAC